TATGCCGCGAAAACCCGGCAGCTTCGGCAGATATCGACCCAACTGCACCAGTGAAGGCAGAGACACAGACGATACGTGTCTCTGCACACCTGTCTTTGTCTGTGTGGCTGCCTGGCTGCTCACCACGTCAAAGAGGAGGAAGTCCCAGAATAGCAGCACGTGGAACCAGCCCGACGATTGAAAGAACCGCACAGACGACTCCAACTCGCTCGCAATGCCGGGAAGTATAAGGAACGTTATCAGCCAATTCGCCACCATGACCATCAGCCACGGCCACACTCGTGCCAGCGTCACCAAGGGCGCCATCAGCGCAGAGGCCGGCTTCTCGTCTTCAAGTGGCGCGATCCGCGTGTGCGTGCTGATTATCAGAGGCTGGTCGTCGGCTGTCGATCCGTCTCTCCCTTTCGTCTTGACTCGCACCACATCAGGATGCGTGTCGACCTGGCAGACGTAGAGGCACAGCGTGAGAAGGTAAAAAGACAAGAGCTCCGCCGTCCAGACGTAGGCCGCCGTGCGGTGGTCGGCAAAGGCTATCTTTGTGAGCATCTTGGAAATCGACGCGACCAGCCCGCTCACCCCGATCCCCACCACAAACGACTGCATATACCTCTCCGGCAAAGCCCCGCACAGCCCGGCAATCGAGCCGTGGGAGAAGGCGTGCGCCGTGCCGGCGACCCCACAGGCGATGGCCACGGCATCAACCGACGTTAGAAAGACGAACGATGCCAGCGAGGCCGCCTGCAGGATGAGTGCGGGGACGATCTTGGCGGGGTAGGGGATGGAGCTGCCGATACACACCACTATGAGGCCGGTGGCGAAGTTGGCCACCTTGTAGACCGTTGAGAAGGTGTACTCGACGTTCTGCCCGGGGAACACCTGGCGGAAGAAATCAACGTACATCAGCAGCTGCCCCCAGTCCAACACAGCAAAGGAGAGAGGGGACAACACACACATCCATCCATCCATCCATCCATCCATTCTTTTTCTTCGTCTTTTGCGTGTCCGCTTACGGCGTAGAACGTCAGCACCACCGCCACACCTGCCCACACAATCGAGATGACAAGATCTCCGCGCTTCCATGTCGCTCTGTTTGTTCCCCCATGGTTGTTGCCCCCCCATCGCTCACCGAGAAGCGCCATGGTGTAATCCAACAGATCTACCTTCACATATCTGCCTGCACCCATTGGGAATCAACGAGGAACCTTTTTGCAGCGGGGGGATGGGGGGTATCTTATCGTTCGTAAATTTCGGATGCATCCGTCCCATTGCTGGTTGATCTAGAGTCGGTATGGATTTGCTCGGTTTTTCTCTCTGTTGCAATGAATCCTCTCATGCGCGCGTCGTCTGTGAGGGGCGGCATGGCCGTCAATGATATGATAGTCTTGTCATTGCCGTGGCCCTTCAAGCGGGACCCTGTTGGCGGTGTTTCCCAAGTGCACTGGAATAGCCTCGACTACGCATCCCAACGCAAGAGAGAGGTGAGAGGATGCATGGGGGCATTGCACAAGGCGAGAAGATGAGAAAAATGGCTGCATGCATGAACCTCTGCAGATTCATGAGATGCATGATACATTGTACCTGGTGTACCATCCTTTCTTTCTTTTGTTTGGTTGTTGCATGCAGATGGCCAATGATTTCTGGGCTGAGCAGAGGGCTGAGGGCAACACGCCGTTCGTGACGGAAGACGACCGCTACGAGGGCTCGGTCACCGTCGCGCATACGCCGATGGAGGTCACCTTCGACCCGGCCACCCGCCGATACTGGCCGCGCAGGGATTCCAAGATGACGTCAGACCCCTACCACTGCGAACCCAAACGGGTGTTTTGCAGCCTGGAGGTGAGATCGTCAGCCAGAAGACAATGAAAGCGCCACATCCACGCTCAACGGCGGTATCTTCATGTGTGTCCATTTGTTTGTTCACAGGTTCCCGAGTTGCACAAGATGGGTACGTATGAGTTGTCGGACATCCTCGAGGGCAAGCCCATGGCCAAGAGCAGCCCCTACCCGTCCACCTCATCCATCAGCACGGACGCCCCCCACATGCCCACGGGTGATATCGACGACATCGCCGTGCCCATCAGCAGAACCAAAACCGACTCCTGGTTCAGCATCGTGTCCATCCAGAAGCTCATCAAGTCGGTCATCGGCAGCTGCACGATCGGCCCGGGCCCTGCCAAGTTCGACGAGCACGAGATCATCATCTGAGCCCACAAGTCGTTCCGCCCCGCACCGCTACCTACCGCCCGCACGCACGTTGTCGAAGTCAGCCCTCGAAGCTACTGTCGCCCGTCTGCTGCCAATTCGCCTGCCCCCAAGCCACCCACAATCGACTGAGACCTCGCAAGTGCAAGAGAAGGAGGAGCAACAACAGAGTGAACAGGAGCAGTGAGCACCGTGCAGCCATTTGCGCGCCCCAGGCAGTGGCACAGACGACCGCTCAAATGGCCGATGGCACCATACACCACACATAGCGAGCCTCTAGCCCACCACACATCACACACATTATCACACACCACATACTTGCTGAGCAAGGCAGCCGTCAAGGGGGCGACTTGGGGCGCTGCATGGCTTGACGCTGAGCGAGATGGGGGGCAGGGAGGCAGGCAGAAGTGCACAGCAGATGGCGGCGTTGCACCGAAGAGACAGATATACGGGGGCTGGGCTGGGCTGGTGTGGTGGGGACTGGCGGGGCGACTGTGGGCATGCATAAGTGAGGGATAGGTGGCGGTTGGATGGTTGTTTGGAGTGTGCCGATTCATCTACACCTGCCTGCCTGTCTGCCTGACAGTGCATGGGTGGTGTCGGTCGGTCGGTCGGTCGATGTCACTAAGGTGAGTGACGCCATCGGACGGACGGTAGCTACTCTGCCGGGGGGTGGAAGTCAGCAAGCAGCCAAACGAGACAGGAAGAGAGACACAGAGAGATATCGCTGCTAATGGCTGGCTGGCTGCGTTGACGTGCGGGTCTACATGTTTGCCTGTCTCTTTTTCAGCGCTCTCGGCTGCTGAGAGGCTCTCTCTTTTTCTCCATGACAAGTGTGTGTGTAGGGATGGGAGGACTGTGCGTATGTGTGTTGGCATTGCTGTCGTGTTTCATCGTCATGTGATTGAGGAGGTACCATCCCTCCCTCCGTGGTTTTGTGTGCATACCTACATGAATGACCGGATGGATGGACACCCCCCTTGATGATGTCAATGCATACAGACATACGCACAGAAATCTCTCACAGCATGCCATGGCCCTCACCCACCCACTGTACACTGACCCCATCCGCACCACCGACACAAACATGTTTGTGAGTATGTGCAGCCACCCACTGGTATCTACACGCCACCCATAGCCCTCCTCTCCTCTCGACGTGTCCACCCTGCTTCTATCCCCAAACACTGGCAGCAGCAGCAGCAGCAGCAGCGCCATTTCTCAATCATCGTCAGTCAGTCGTCTACCACCACCATGTCTGCTGGCTCTGCTGATCCTGCTGCCGCTGCCGCACTGGAGGATCCGCCACCTGCTGCTGCTGCTGCTGCTGCTGCTGCTCGTTGGGCGGCATCCTGCGATCGGCGGACAGCAGGGCCGACTGAGACTCCACCACCTACACGACAATTAATTAGGGCAGGGCAATGCAGTAACTTGTGGAGAGGCCAATTTGTGTGTGCCCCGACCGACACACCTACCTACCTGCAGTGTCCAGAGTGCGTCTGAGTTGGGGTCGTAGTGCGGGTTGGTGCTCAGACGCCGCACAAGGAAGTTAATGTAGATGTTGTGCCCCTCCACCTCGGGCAGCAACTCGCACACCACGGACACCAACGTCCCAACCTTACACACCACACGTAGCCAGCAAAGACACACGACCGACCATCTCATCTATCCATTGCACTCATTGCGTGTGACGTGACCGTCCCTAGCCACCCAGCCCACACGGCCACCTGCAGTCGTTTGCACGCCTCCTCCACCGGCACGTTGCTGCCGCTCGACTGTGCAGACTCGGATGCCCGCGGGCTGCGGTAGAGAAACGGCGGCGAGGCGGCATGGTCGCGGTGCTTCCCACCCCCTCTGGCGCTGCGGTGGTGTTCGATAAGGATGGTCAGCTCATCCAGATAGGCCGTCGGGTCTAAGGCCAGCAGCCGCGTGCCGTCATCCACCTCAATCACGCCAGCTGGCAAGTCCACCCTGCAGACAGCCAGCCAGCCAGCCAGCCAGACAGACAGACAGACAGACAGACAACACACGAAGAAGGCAGGCAAACGCTCCACTCCTCATTTCTCCCCCCTCTCCCCTCCTTTGTGTCTGTGTGTGTGCGTACACGACAATGTATCCCTGCAGCCACACGAGCTTGATCTCTCTGCCGCGGAAAGTGAACCGGTGACCACAGCCCTGCTTGACCACTTGAATTTCGTCGGCCTGCCGAATCACACACACATACACATACAGAAGTCAGTCATATAGAAGTCAGTCATCTGTGGCGCATTCAATGGATGGATGGTGTGTGCAGTGTGCACGATCTGGTTGCCTGCCTGTGCGGCGAAGAGGCAGACGATGCTGAGGCCATCAGCCGCTTCATCGAAGCAAGGTCTGCTCAGCGCAGAGGGAGGCGGGAGCTCTTCCCAAAGCCCATTCATCGTCATCATCTGGTATCATCTGCCCCAGCACGCGAGAAGAGATGATGAATCAGAAAGTTGGCAGAAAGCCCAGATCCACGACAAAGGAGCTTTCGGTGCGAAAGCTGCCGCAAGCTGCGAGCTTAGCCAAAAAGCTGGGGATCCAGTCGCGGAGTTGGGAACGTCCACGAAACTGTATGCAAGAGTACAGAAGCCAGCTTTCTGCCAAGACTCACCAGCTCCTGACCCAAAACCCGCAGCTTTTCCATTGCAAATGACTGATTCTTCATCAGTGCGTGTTGCTTGACCCATATTCAAAGCATGCTGTTTGCCGCCAAGAAGCTGGACACGTGAGTACAGAAGCCAGCTTAATGACACACATGTGGAAGCGACACCACAGCGACCACATCACACACTAAAACAACATCACACACGCGCACATGCATGCTTGTCCGTTTGCCTGTTTGTGTTTTTTCTTGCGGAGATATGTCTGTGTGCCTTCCGATTAGATCCATCTCTTACCATCATCTTCCATCCCTGCCGAAGCCTTTCGATCTCGATCCACTTTTCAAATATGATTGTAGATAGCCTTGTGAAGTGCCGATTCAGCCTGTCTGGGCAGTTTTGTTGATTGGGGCGATGTGAGACATGTAGCCTTGCACCAGTGCCTTGAATCAGTATGCCATTGTGAGTCTTCGCTGCAGCGATTCTATCTATCCATCCATCCAGTGACGGCAAGAGGGCAGGCAGAGAGGCAGAGAGGCAGGCAGGCAGGCAGGTAGGCAGACACATGAATGGGATGGCGATGAATGGTGTAAATGAATGCCATGTCCGAGCGACAGACGTCTTGCGACTTGCCATTTACAAGAGACATGATGAGTCAGTCTTCCCATGAGAGTCGTCTCACATATGCAGCCGCATTGTTGTCCACTTACGCATCCCATCTCATCTAAACCCTAAACACACACACCCACCCCCAAAGTCGCGTCGCACGTCAAGGCTAAAAAAAAGAAAACAAAAATAGAGCGGGCCTGTCCGTGCGGACACGAATAATCAACAACCCCTATTGAATTTCGGGCGGCCAGCAATCCTTAGTCCGTCACGTTAGTCATGGGATGCATACGGACCGATAAAGGCACATCGACATGGTGAAATCGACAGCCAGGCTGCACACACAAAGGGAAAGGATAAAGGATGGAGGCAGGCACTGGATGGGATGGGAGCACGAAGGCACGAATTTGACCGAGAGGTACATATATATGTTTGCAGTGCGAATGCATATGAATTGACTCAGAGAGAGAGAGAGAGTACTGAAATGGGTGTAAGTAAGTAATAATAACAATGACATGACATACACATAAACGTACTCCAGCTGCATTGTACGGCCCACTCGACCCCCACACACACATCGACCGACCGACCGATATCGATGCGATCATCGCATACCAGGTACGCCCACCCCCTGAGGCGACCGATGCTCCGCTGCGGCCTCATCCAGCTCATGGAGCCCCCGCACCATCTCGCTGAAGATGCCGCCAGCCGCCTTGAGCCTTTCAGGGGTGTCAAACTCGGCCACCTTTCCCTTGTCGAGCACCAGAATTCGGTCGTAGTCCATGACCGTCTCCAGTCGATGGGCTATGGTGATGACGGACACCTCCCGCACACGCCTGGCGCCCCAGCCCGTCTTGGTCGCGTCACGGAGGGCCGCCTGGATCAGCTGGTCCGTCTGGCTGTCGATCTGCGCAGTGGCCTGCACACATTGATGAGGGAGGGAGACACACCCACAGTGCACTCACTAGAGTAAGCTGCTTTGTTGGAATCTGGGCTGACCTCGTCGAGCACGAGAACCTCGGACGACCGCAGGAGGGCCCGCGCGACACACACCAGTTGACTGATGAGACACACACATAGAATAAAGACAGCGTCCATGTGTCAATGCGTCTGCCTCACCGTTGTCCAGCTGAAAGATTGCTGCCCTGCTCCGCGACCATTCCGTCCAGCCCTCCCAGTTTCTGTATCAGGTCTGCACACGACACCACACAACATAACACGCCCTCCGTGCGTATGTGCGTTCATCTGGCTGCCGGCTGGGGTACCTACCCTTGAGATGGAGCAGGTTGAAGACGGCCTGTATGTCAGCCTCGGGAAAGGCCTTTCCGCTCGGGTCGAGGTTGTCGTGCAGCGTGCCGCCAAACAACGTGGGGTCCTGGGGAATGATCGCCTGATGATCCATAGCATAGATGCCACAGACATAGACACACACACGGACAGACAGACACACGTCTTGTGGGCGCGGCGCCCCGCAAAGATGCGGCACTGCGGTTTGCCGACCAGTCGGTTGCGCAACGTGTGCAGAGGGATGTTCTGTGTGTCTTCGCCGTCGAGACGAATCGTCCCGCTGCAGTCAACCGCCATACCATACACACAGCACCGCCCAGCCCACCTCGGAGAAAAGGACACGGCCGGCCGCTCACCGTTCCCTCCCGCCCCCCACCCACCTGTTGACTTCATTCATACGGAAGAGGGCGTTGATGATGCTCGACTTGCCCGCCCCCGTCCGCCCCACCACGCCGATCCTCTCGCCCCGACGCACACCAAAGCTCACGCCCTTGAGGATCCAGTGGCCCTGACGGTACTTGAGCCACACGTCATCGAAGACGACCTTGTGGCCGTCGGATGGCACGGATGGCGGGGGGTGGACTCGCCTCATCGAGGGGGGTCGTTTTGATGGGTCGCGTAGGAGGGCCAGGTCGGCAGATGGCGACCAGTGGGGGAAGTAGGCCGCCTCCTGGGGGATGTCCGAGTACTCGAGGAGACGCTCGGTGCCTGTCATGAATATATCATGACATGGGTGGGGGAAAGGTCCATCCGTGTGTCAGTCAAAAGTCAGTCGCTGTGGTTCTGTGTGACCTGACTTACACGTCATGTAGTTTTCCACATCTAGCGACACCTTGATCGTCCTCTGACCAGATGGAAACATCAGAGTCACCATGTGCACCCACAGACGGCGCGGCCACTTCTCCCTCCCAATGCATTCCCCACTCACCTGGAAGAGCGCCGTGAGCTGCAGCGAAGACACAATAGCGAGGCCGGCGAAGTCGGTCTGCATTGTGTCGGAGTTGGTGAACAACGCCAGCAGCAGAGTGATACCGCTTGTGATGAGCGCCGCCGTCAACTCCATCCGGAACAGGATCCACTGAGACGTCAACCAGAACAGCGAAAAGTACCTGTCAATTGGTCGTCAGACAGACAGAGAAGGAGGGAGAAGACAGTCAGTGCAGAACGGTGCATGCAATAATGAGGGCCTGTCGACTATCTACCTCATTACCTGGTGTTTGCGTCGATTCGGTCTTGTCCCTCGTCGATGAAGAGCTGTAGTTTTTCGAACGTGCGGATGATGCAGAGGCCGTTGGGGTGGAGGACCTCCCCGAAGAGGGCGTACACAGGCGACCGGCTCATGCTGTCAAAACGCTTCAGCTGAGGGCTCAGCCTGCACACACGCAAAAAGCCACCCATGCATACAAATTCACGTCAACACGACCTTCATCCGTGTGTGCGTCCATCTGACTGACCGTCTGAACATGCGATAGATGGAGATGAAGAATATGAACAGGATGAAGGCGAGCACCAGGAAGTAGGGTGTCGACACCAGACACAGAATGAGGATCCCGATGATGTGGAAAACGTTCTGCAGGAACTGGATGGAAAACTCCGGCAACATGAGGTCGATGGAGTCCAGGTCCTTGCCGAATCGGTTCAGGATCGACCCCTGCAGTGTCGTGTCGAAGAAGTACGGCACGCTGGCCTTCAGGACGCGAACCAGCGCCGTCCGATGCAGATAAGCACTCGACCGGTTCGCAAGCCACACCTGATAATCACCACACGACACACAAGATGCATCCGTTCATCGGCCATGAGTGTGTCTGTCTGCCTGTCTGTCTGTGTAGCGTGTTAGAGGTTGCACTGCACTGACCAGGAAGAATGATCGGATGACGAGGAAGAGGCAGGTGGCTATGATGAGGGCGCAGAAGAGGGGGCCGTTGCGTGAGCCCTCCTGTGCTTCGGGCTCCTCGCTGCCCCAAAAGTTGACCAGGAAGTACTCGGCAAACAGACGCAGGAACTGACCACCTGCATTGCATCCACACGAGAGATGCGACAGGACGGCGTGAGAACGGCGTGAGAAAGCGCCCACATGCAATGCAAGAGGCAAATCAGATGGCCGACCGGCATACAGCGTGAGCAGGAGGACGAGCAGCGTTGCGCCAATGCACATGTTGTTGGACTGTGCGGCGGCCGCCCCGTATCGTGCGTACGTTCTTCCCCCCACGAGTGCCGAACCGCCAGCGGGGGACCCGCCAGACGTCCGGGGGGTGTTCATCCCGCCCTAGGAGAAGATAAGATCGACAGACACATCGATATTAACACCAATCATCGAACCACCGTGCTGACTGAATCAATCGTCTGTCTCCCTCCCTCCCTCCCTCCCTCCCCATCGCTTAGTTACCGGCATTTCCCTCTGCACGAGCTGTCGCTTTGCCGGCGGCTGGTGTTTCACGATCGACTCTGGAATGGGAATAGGTGTCTTGTCGCCCATGGTGGCCTTCTTGGCCTTCTCCGCCTGCTTGTCGAGTGCGGCCTTGGCCTTGACGTGCCCCCGGTAGACGTCGTCGACCAGCTCTGCGACCGTCTCGTAGGGCTCTGAGGACGACGGCAGGGCCAGCACTGTGGTGGCCGTGGGGGTGATGGTCTCATCTTCGCGGAATGATGGGCCCTTCAAGTCGACCGTTGACGATATGACGCGCCCGTCCTGACACACACGAAGGAGGGAGGACACACAGATGGGGCGGGGCGTTTGTAGGGGTCTGGGCTGACTGACTGTAGGACTACTTACCTGAAGGTGGATGACGCGGTCGAAGTATGGGAGCAGGTACATGTGGCTGTTGAGGCAGACGATGCGCGTGGTGTCCTTGAGCAGCCCCATGACGCCCTGCCAGAACATGACGCTGCACGTCTGCAGGTCCACAGACGCAAACGGGTCGTCCAGCAGCACAAACCCGTCGCGCCGATCCGCCTCGTGCTGCAGCGCACGGGCAAACGTCACACGCACCTTCTGGCCACCTGCACATGGAAACGAAATGCATCCATTCATCGCCCACACACTCAAGTGGTGTGTGCTGTGCTGTGCTGTGCTGCAAAGAAGTGGACCTGAGAGGTTGATGCCCTGCTCGCCGATCTCGGTCTGGTCCGCTTCCGGCAGGATGCCCAGATCAGGCAGCAGCCCAGCGCAGCTCAGCACTTGCTCATAGGTCTCCGGCGCCTCGTACATGATGCCCGTATCATTCAGCGACCGGAACAGAACGTTGTTCTGCAGCGACAGGTTCTGTATCCACGGCTCCTGCGACACGAACGACGGCGACGGGCCGCGAAGCACCACCCTCCCGGCCGTCTGGGGCACCTCTCCCATCATTGCCTTCAGAAAGGTGGTCTTGCCGCCCCCCACCTTGCCCACAAGGGCCACCAGCTCGCCGCGGTTGATCTTGACGTTGTCCAGCCTGAGAGTGAAGTTGCTCGATGGCCACCGGAATATCGCATTCTCGATATGAAGGGCGGGCGCCTTCGGGGGGCCGTTGGTGGACAGCCGCTGGACGTGGGAGCGCCAGGATGGCAGAAGGAGGAAGTCTCGGAGGCGCTGAAGGGATATCTTGGCTTCCTGGTCGGTTGCCATCGCCTGACTGAGCAACATGCCCGGAAACCTGCACACGCCATACCCACACACCCTCGTGTGCGCGTGTGTATTCCCTGAGTGTGGTGGTACGGACTGGAGTGCACCTGAGGATGTTGAGGAATGCCAGTGTGACGAGTATCTCTGAGCTCTCGAGGGGCTCGTCCAGCAGGTAAACTTTGGGCACAAAAATGCCAAAGGCGCACAGCAGCGGAGCCACAAACATCATTTCGCGCAGCAGCGCACGCCTGCGTGACCACGCAAGAGACACACAGTGAGGGCGACAGCATGTGCATGTGGGTCTGTCTGTCTCCTTGCCTCCTTCGATCCATCCATCCCTTGTGGCGACTTGGCGACTTACCACACGAGTGAGTGTTCGATGGCGCTCAGCTCCTCGTTTCTGCAGGCCTGCACCTTGCTGCCCAGGGCATACTCCCAGGCAAACAGCTGACATCCGGGACATACATAGCACATGACGGGGTGGATGCGTTACGAGAAGTGACTGTGTCGGTTTGGTGCTGTGCTCACTTTGACGAATCGGATGTTCTGCAGGATCTGGTTGAAGTGCCTCATCCGTTTGTCGGTGTGCTGCATGCTTGTGCGACGCATCCGGGCTATCCGCCGACTCACCGCCAGCTGAATCGGCTGCACACACGTAACGCACACACAAGCGGAGAGAGAGACAGAGAGATGGAGGCTCCATCCAACCAACACATGTAAGTTGGTCCGGTCGGTCTGTCTTTGATGAAGTGAGTGAGTGCCGCTGGACCGACCAGTATGAGTACGAACAGCGATATGCCGATGATGGATGCCATCCCAATGTACAGCCACAACACAATCAGAGTCACCACAGCCGTCAACGCAAAATGCCTGCAATCAAATCAAGACCCTCGTGTGAACGTGAATGTGTTCTGGCTCTTGTTTTGGCTTGGCTTGGTTTGGTGGGGTGGGTGGGTGACGGGCTGACCGACCAGTAGAAGTGCAGGAACTGAAGGCACATGAAGACACGCTCCGGATCCACAGACATCCTGGTCAACGTCTCCCCTGCAGGCCACACAAGAAGACAAGACACCACATGACATGTGCCAATCAATGATCGGTCCATCCATCCATCTTCTATTCTCCCCCTTTCGTCTCACCTGCAGTGGCGCTCTGTTTGTCTTTCTTCGGCTGGAAGGACGGCAGCGTCAGTGCGTGCCGATACACCGCCAGCATCAGCGCCGCACGCACCTCAATCCCAGCCCGTGTGCAAAGGTAAAACCCCCTCCTGTATAAACAAACAAACCGACAACCGACATGGTCAGTCACCTGGCCAAGTGAGTGTCCCTCTCTCTCCCTCTCACTGACGCCATGAAGATGGACGACAGGATCGACACGACGGCCAGCAGGACTGCGTACACGAGTGCCATGGGGTTGAAATTCCACCCCTCCTGGGCCACCACCCCCTCGTCGCTGGTCCATTGCAGCTCGCGGAACAACAGCTGGATGATCAGAGGCAACGCAAATTGGACGCACATGAACAGGAACTGGTAAACGCCTGACAAAGAACAAACAACAAACAGCACACAGCACACACAGCACACATTGACAGACAGACAGGCTGACCGAGGGAGGGGAGAGCACTGCGTGTTTGTGGCTGACTGACTGACCTCCGATGACCCATTTCCGCCCAAAAGCGCGGTAGAGTGCGAGTGCGATTGACGGCCGGTTGACCCAGCTCTTGGCGTCGTTGGCTGTCTCCTTCTCCCTCTCCCATTCCTCAGCCAGCCGCTCGTACAGCCCATGACAGCTGTCGCTCTCAAGCGTGCGGAACACATCCTCGTCGCGCAGACCCTCCCGGCCCTTGCGCAGCGCCGTCCTCACCAACCTGACACACACACACACATGGACATGGACACAAGCACAGACAAGCACGGACAAGCACAGACAAGCACCCTGTTTTGTTCCCGATTCTAGGGTGATTGTGCGTGTGTGTGTGCTCACGGATTGAGCCAAGACAGCGACACGATGGAGCAGAGGGCTCCAATCCGCTGGCAGAGAGTGCCGGAGGTGAGCCTACGCTCTTTCTCTGTCAGAGGGTGAGAGGGCGGGCCGAAAGAGAGCGTGGCTGTGGTGCTGGTGGCCACACCGGGCGTGGACGCCTTGGCACCGTCCTCCGTCTCCTGGCGCGGGATGGTTGCTGACCGAGCCTCAGTCATCCGGATCAGACCAACTGACGAAAACCACTTAATTCCCGTCCGCTCTGTGACGACCGGACGTGCAAAAAAGATGCGTGCGCCACCAGACAGCCCTTCTATGTGTTGCTCAAGACAGGTTTTCCGCAGACGCACCCTAGCCGTTTTCGCCCTCTGTCTCATCAAAATCAAAAATATGTCTCTCTTGCTGCCTGTCAGGATTGCCAGCTTGGCAAGACGAACCACTGCGAGCTTGTGAGCTAGGGTATATTGCTGTGTAACGGGTGGAGAGAGGAGAAGACAAAGAAAGACAAGGAAAGCATTCTGAGGAGACACGATCTTATCAGCCATCACCGAAGTGAGATCTGTGTTGACCACCCTTCATGATGCCATACATGGACA